CTTAAGAATTAGAGGTCGAGGAACACGATACATAGGGTCTCTTTCGGTATACGGACCTCACTTTGTCGTGGTCCTCACTTTGTATGCAAATTTTACATGGGAGGTCCTCACATTGTATGGTGGGCGAAAATATATATTCATGTATGTATGAAATATTTATGTATGTGGGCAAGAACGATTTCACTGGATGCAGATCAAACGGCTTGATGGATTTTGACTTGTTAGGCGTAGTTGGATTTCTCTTAACAGCGTGAGTAGCAATGGGTATATTAAAATTTAATAAAATCAAAATGACGGATTTTAATTGAAAATGGATTCTGACATACGAAATGTTACTTGATTTGTCTTAACAGTGCGAGCAACAATGGGTACAACTTGGCGTAACAAAAGCAAAAATTTCAACTTTAAAATTTATATTGAGCGGACTAGCTCAAAGCAGTTGATTTTGACATAGGTATGATGTGTCTCTAACTTTGTCTGAACCATGCGAGTTATACTGGGTATGTTAAAATTAGATGATATAAAAGTAGCGGATTTCAGAGGACGCCGCACAAAACATATGGAAAATGGTTCCCTGTTGATTTGTCTAAGAAAGTATGATATATTTCTCACCTTCCTCAACAGAAGCTCTCATGAGACCAAAGCAATGTCCTGTGATTAGTTTCTGAGAAATGGAAAGATACAGTTTGTCCGATTTGCAAATATGATTAATGCGCCGATTCTAGTTCTCATACCAAAAACTCCGAGAAACGTGTTACTTAAAGAAGTGTTGATCGTGATCCTTACAAGGTCAATATAAGGGCAGATTGATTTTTAGGTGATAATTCTGGAACATACCTGGCCAAACTTATGACATTCACAAGGTCATGTTCATTTGAAGATGAAAGGGAAGGCGTACAAGTGTGAACATTGCTCTAAGTTATAATTAATTGTAGTCCCTTTGCTTTTACCGACGATGTAGACTATCAAGCAATCGTCAACTACAAGTGCTGCATTTGCATTTTTCATGAATCCATCTTCTAAGATCAGGATGGTCAAGGTCAGCAAGACATCTCCCAACACCTTCCTACAATGTTTTTTAATAAAATATTTCTTTCAGTATTACAATTTTCCAAGTGTTTGGTCTGAGAACTACAATCGGTACATTGGCTATTTTTCCAAATCGGATAAGCTTCATCCCCATATTTCTCAGAAATTAATCATATAATCGCTTTGGTGTCATGAGAAGTTTTGTTCAGGAACGCGAGAAATACATCATACTGAATTTTTAGACAAGTCGACTGGGACTCATTTTAAGTATGTTTTGTGCGGGGTCCTTTGAAATTTCTATTTCAAGGGCTATAGCTTGAACGAATTTATGGATTTTGACATACAAGATATTTCTAGATTTGTCTGGCAGTCACACTGGGTATATTGAAGTTTTATAAAATCTAAATGATGGATTTCAATCGAAAATTTTATCTTTGAAATTTATATTTCACGGGTTGCAGCAACGCCTTGACGACTTCTGTCATTTGAGTTGTTCTTAGATTTGCCTTGGCAGCACAGTTAAAACTTCATTCTTTTCGATTACTATAAAAATATATTTGTTTGTATTAGTTTTTCTCTCCTACTTAATGTTCATACACCACAGAATGAGAAAGCTGAACCAAACATCTAGTTTCAACTTGCCATTCTAGACTTCAAATCTGGGAATAGCAGCCTTCCTGTTAGATATTAAAGAAAATTGGTGGATGCTAAATGCTACGTATACATACACATTCACAATTTATTGATGTCATGCCATGTTCCGTTCTTTGCCATACTGAGCCGCCTGAAACCGTTTTTAACTTCATACAAAAATGATTGATGATTTAGACTCTTGGAAAAATAAAACATACGGAATATTAAATTCTCTAATGAACAAATTGATCCACAACCTTAGAAAACATTATATAGGGAAGTTCAGAAAAAATCAGAGGAACTAGAAACGACCAAGCACTATTGTTGGGAAAAGCGATTCTGGTAGATTTGCTCAAAACTTTGACAGTGCGTTCCTCAAGGGATGTTGATCAAATGTTCTCGATTGGCTTAGAGCGATCTAAAGTGTCTAGAAGGATAGAAGGCTTAGAAGTTGCGTACTTATGAATTATACAGCGAGCTCAAAAAACTGCCCCTTATTTAGCTAAGCGCATAGCTGTCATTAATGTGAGTTAATCATAGGCGCCCATACAGCAAAAATCAGGGAGCGTGTCGGCGATTTGCAATTCCAGTGCTCTTCATTTTAATAAATTAATGATAATGGCTGATTTTAATAAAAGGTTTCAACCTTGAAATTAATATTTCACGAGATATAGCTTTGTCTTGACAGTGCTAGTGAGACTAGGTATACTAACATTTTATAAAACAAAAATTGCGGATTTTGAACGCAAATTTCAACTTTGAGATTTGTATTCCAAGCGGCTATATAGCCCAAATAGCTCGATGGATTTTGATATTTTAGGTGTCCGTAGATTCATCTTGATAGCACAGTTGATTCTTTATTTTCAGTTACTGCAGTTTGGTTGTTTGCATTTTTAAAACTACACGTCTCTTTATGGGCCTGAGCATCGGAGGGAGGGCGGTGGTGTACGAGGCGGCAAACCTCCACAATTCAGGTTTAGCAAGGTAATGTTCGCGGATGTTTTGAAAACTATGCCACAAGTTGCTCAAGAAACGAGCACCCTGTAAGGTATATTTTACTTCTCAAGCAAAGGCCAGGGGGGTCGTATGTCCTCTCGCCCCCCAATTGGCGTCCATGGAATTAATTACAGCACAAATGGTCCAAAAAATTGTTATTGCAAGTCGTATCAGCCTTCACTTGTATTTTGCCACTTCCAACCCTTTAAAGTAGGAGAAATATACCTATAAAGGGGGTGTTTCTCGGAAGGAAGTATTATATCACAACGACGAAGTCTCTTATCATTTCTTCAGTGGGAAATAACTGCTCAACCTAGGTGCTCTATTATTTGGAATAAATAATCAACCCCTACAAGAAGGGTGGCTAGCATATTAAGACCACCTTGCCATTTTATTTCCACCTCACACTTCCTTTCCATTACAGTATTTATAACCCTTGAGTGAAGAATCAATCATCTATAAGGGGAATGTGCTGACCTCACCAGTGTAGTTGTGGCAATAGCCTTGTCGTATCCAACCTAGACACAATCTTGGTGTAGGCTGACTTACGCTCTTTCAATTGCTTCAATGCTTGAGATTGAAATAATATCCCAGTCTACAGAAAAAAAATTAGGAATTACGTGTAAAAAAGATTAGCAGATATCTGAAAGTTTTTAATGAAGGGGGGTTATGAATTGCTTAAATAATTTTATTGTAAAATATACATTATTTTATTAGAGTGAGAGTAAAAGTAAATGATTTATTAGTAATTTATTATTATTTCATAGTAATATAATTTTGAATAATACGAGTTGTTTTCCGGAATTTCCTGATTTTTCAGGAAGATGAAAATGTGCCAGATGTCATTATTTCGGCGAGTTACCCCGGATAAAAAAGAAGGTTCTACGTTGCTTACAAGCCGACATAATGCAAAATTTAACAGGGCGCACAGTGTGTTCCTTTATAGGGATCAAAATTCGATATCTTAAAAACTAGTGGTCCTATTTGAATGCTGTAAACGCAGGGCCATTACTTATTCAAGTGGCTTTCTAAAGTATGACAAAAATTATTTAAAATAATAAGAAGGGGTGGGGGAGCAGGCGGGATGCATTTCGCATAAATCGTTTTTTTTTTGTAAAAGTCAAAATATTAAGTTGATGATCTCGAATAAATTGGGATAAGGTAGGATATTATTATAGCATTCTTAAGAGAGACAAAAAAGTCACGCTTTTATTTTTCAAGATCTTTACCGAATGATTTAAAAGATAATGTAGCTAACTTGTGGCGGGCGCAATATGATTTATTAAATTAGTCTATCTATTTGAAAAAATAATAAGAATAATTCAAATAAAAAATAAATCTGTATAATTTGAAATTGATATTTAGGTTTTTATTTAAAAAAATATATTTAACAAAATAACAATTACTTAGTAGGTAATGTATGAAATAATAATATAAACTATATTAAAAAAATAACACCAAATATACCTATTCTAATCGGAATAGGATTTCTTGCTCGGTGCTGTGTCATTCGTTATTGTACATAAGTCAATACCTAAATCATCATTTTCTTGCTTTTTTAAATAGTTCTGAACTGCCTCGTTGCATTTCTTATATTTTTTTGAGCTCACCTTTCTTTTTGAGGATATAAAAGGATCAAAAGTAAGTAAAAGAACACGCATGAGATCCTTATTCGTATCTGTTCTTGAACATTTTCTGGTGTGAGATAATCGATGTTTCCTAACCTCTTTATGGCGAGCCTCAAGCGCATCCTCCGACAGTTCTCCAATGGGCAAACAAAATGCATCAATTATCTCACACCCATGAACAAGGACCTTATGTACCGTGTTTGGCATGTTGTACCACTTATAAAGGTGGATATACAAATTTCTTGCTTCTTCCAGCAATGACGCAAACTTTTCCATATCAATAGCGCAACCACTAGCTAACACTCCTAAGATGATCGCAAATTTCTCGATTAATTCCCTGTCAACCCCTGTGATATCTGAACTTGTTTGTGGATTGTGGAAAAAAGTTCTGGCCGTATTGCCATCATTTGAGGAGCCTTACCCGGGTTTTGGTTTGTCAACCATTAGATACAGCTTGGCTCTGAACTCTGCTTGGATTCGTTTTTTGTTTGTTTCGACTATAGCTTTGTTTTCAGGCCCACGAACCTGCCAAGATTTAATTGGCAGGCGGTATCCAATATGGAGTAAGCATTCAAAAAAACGAAACCATCAGTGTAAAGTTGACAAACCAGACCGGTAATTGTCTACGTTAGGAGGACGGTTAATCCCTGCTAACGTGTTCATGTCCTTGGGTGTGGCTCCGCAAATGATGCACTTCATAGTTGAATTTGTCTCTCATAGAACGTTTCCAACACTGCCGTCCAACATTGTTAACATCATATCAACTTCAATTATATAAGAGTGACCTTCTTTTGTTTTAATCTCAATAGGAATCAAATTTTCAATTTTTGTTATTATTTCCTTTTCCATATTCCGCACTAAATCAGCATTTTCCTTTTTAAATAAAAACTTGATCGGCCTACAATATAAAGTAGATGATGGGCTCTCATTTTTCCACAATACCTTATTCGTTTCCATATCAATCAATCTGAGTGGCGTCATTGCTACAAGAAATAGAAATTCGTCGGTGTTTTCTAAATCATAAAATTTCTGCTTATATTGGCTATGCCCAGAACTGCCATCAAATCCCCACTTGCATATCACTTTAATCCGGCAATCTCTCTCTTCAAAATTTATTATTTCAAGGATACTTTCAGCTGTTTTCTGTACAAGTTCTTGCAAATCAACTTCTGCAGAAATTTCAGTAATAATAAATTGTGAAGGGAGGATAGCATTTTTTTGTTTTCTGTAATTCTTTATAACTAGGACGGCAGTTCTGGGCCTTACCATTAATAACAGACCTAAGTAGCAAATACTTTCTTATGGATATATCCAAATCTACCATAAGGGCTAAAGCTTCAGCTGTACTAAAACTCAAAATTTGTGGCGAGACCTCACTGTGATTGCTTCCAGAAACGACATTTACAGCAAATTGAAGTTCATTTGCAGATCTGTCTGTGGTTAGTTCGGCTACACGTCTTCGTTTTGTTTTCTTCGATGCCTCTTCAAATGGCACTCGTGGCCGTCCAACTGAGCGACAAGGAGGTTCTTGTTCCTCATCCGAAGATGTGTTTTCTTCAAAATCATTATTTATTCTATATATATTCTTGTCTAACCAATATACCTGATTTTGTAAAAGTCGATTCCGAGATTGTCCTACTTTCTGCCATTTATTTGACATTTTCGACCTAAACAACTGGCTGCATTACATAATATTACTTTTAAGATGTTTGGAAGGTTCATCTGTTATATCAATAAGAGATAATATCTTTTCATAAACCACCTGTTTTGTATTTCCTCTCGGTGCTTCTATCCACACATCAATCAAATCTCTATTTCTGACAATAGCACCATGTCCTAAAAAAAGTATATCTCCGTGATTTAAACTTTTTATCAAAACTAACTATGGACAGATAAACAATAAATAAAAAAAATTTCAGGGTGATGGGAGGTGATTTTTGTAAAACTCTAACCAGCCTCATTACCAGCCATATTGGAAAAGTTAAAATATTTAAATATTTCGACACAAAATTTATATCTTTCCCGAGCAATAAAACAGAGATTTTTCGCCTTCTTGACAGGTCTCGACATGTCTAACTTTAAAGTTGCTAAAATAGGTAAATCGCAGCCAACTTGATTAAAGTACTATACTTACGTGTTGCAGTGACTATTTATCTATCCAATGGTATAATAAAAGCAACAGAATTCTAATGTCAAAAATTATGTTTTTGAGTAATTTTGTCCATTGGGCGCCACACTGTGGGGCGGTCCGATTTGAAGACTTAATTTCAAACAATAAATCGAGCTAGGTCTGATTTCCCCACCACCTCACCCGGAAATACTTACGCGAGTACCTTCACTTTAGGTGGCTATTTCTTAAAGACCTTTGAAATAATAGTAAAATTATAAATTAGATCATAAAACTAAGATCTGTGATTAAAATTTGTGAAAATTTCGAGTCTTAATGAGTATAAACAAAGAAGATATGAATTAAAAAAGATATCTTGGCTCCTATTGGTCGAGAAAGGTTTTTTTTAAATATGCGTTTTTTAACCACCTATACTGATCAACTTAGCCAGTAATCGAGCTCAACTTAGATGGGTAGGTAGAAAATAAAATATGAAAATGCGTATTTTATCCTACTTAGTGGTTTTAATATACTAACCATCGTTCCCATAATGTTTGATTTTGTATTCCGAAGGGTAGGTCACATAAACTGAGAACTTGTCAGCTAGATGCTTACCCTTAAGAGAATAATAAATAACTTTATCGTATCGTCGTTGTGGTTTTACACTGCTTTACGAGTTACCCTTTTGTGGTGCTTTTCTTCGACCTTGAAGGCGAAATAAAGGTAAATATGGATGCCAAACAGTTCTTTTGAGCCATCTCTGAAATAAACTCATTCATATCATAGGCTATGCGCTTAGCTAAAAAAGGGACTGATATTTTCGGTTCGTATAAGACTAAATACGCAGCTTCCAAGCTTTCTGGACACTTTGGATCGCTTTAAACTAAGTGGTGCAATAGGAAAATTTGATTAGCGTCACAACCTCAAAATTAGTAGCAATTCGACTGAAAACGCTTGTTCCATGACGATGCTGCCTGGTCTTTTATAGAACAAGGCAAGATTTACCATTAACTGATCTGGTTTCAGGTACAAATGTTCTTGAAGGCCATATACCTGAATCCTCCTAAAGTTTCGTTGAAAGGCTACGCCGTTGTCAACAGGGAACTTGTTACGTCTGTAAGTAAACTCCTTTTTATATGTATATAAAACATTTTTAAGCTGCTTAAGGTTAGTAGAACTGTAAAACACTCATCTGGCAGATTGTTTCACAATCTCGGAACCCCAGATACAAAATAGCGTCCAGTTGTGGATGTACGGATAGGATGGAAGGCTGAAGTCTGGCGGGTTCATCTAGCAGGCTCATTGCGCGGCGTCAACAGCTTTGAGCATAAAAATGTAGTTAGACGGCAGCACCCCATACATGTGAGCAGTACTCGAGGCTAGGTCTTATCTTGCCCTTGTACTGAGTAGGGAGGTTATGTGAAGAGAGGTACTTCTAGCCCTAGACAAATAGCATATCTTTTCCCTAGCAGCTGCAGCTATTGGCGAGATAACTTCGTTCCAAATCAAGTCCTTGGTGATTTGGACTCCGACCAGCCGAAATGGTTGTGGTTAGTCTTTACTAGATCGTAGCCTCCCCTTGCAGAACAAGTCGCTGCTAGTCTTCTGTCCAGCTCATTGCCACAGATTGGCTTGACAATGGTGAACATGAAGGTTAATATCTTGTAAAATGCACAAATGAAATTGGTCGCTGCTTAACTATCAAATTCAGTGACTATAACCGAAAAATTACCTATAGGATGATTAATTTAGACTTTTTTTTTAATTCTTAATATAAAAAAGTCTAAGGGTGTGATATCAAACGATGTAGGCGGCCAGTTGACAGATCAAAAACGCGAAATTATCTGCTCACCAAAATGATTTCTCAATAATGCTATTGTTTCGCGCGCTGGGTGTGTCGTAGCTCCGCCTTGCTGAAACCAAATGTCGCCGACATTACTGGCTACAATTTCAGGCAACAACAAGTTTATTATCACAGTGCGATAACTTTCGCCACTGATGGTTACGTTCTGTCCGGCATCGTTCTTTAAAAATAGGGACCGATGATTCCTCCATAAACCACATCAAAAAGTGCATTTTTGTGGCTGCAACGGTAGTTCGAGAGTCTCTTCGGGTTGCTCATCAGCCTAAATCCGGAATTTTGTTTATTCACATATCCGTCCAGCCGAAAATGTTAGTTAGTCACTAAACAAAATTCAACGAAAAAACAGAGGATCTTCATTGAGCCGTTCCAAAGCCCATTAACTGAAATTTGAGCGTACATTCAGGTCTTGTGGCTTCAATTCCCAGTTAGATTTTATAAGCCTTCAATCCAAGATCCTTTCGTAAAATTGGCCAAGTTGTCGTATACGATATGCCCAAAAGTTGAGATCGGCGTCGAATTCTTCAGCCACCCCTCTCCGCTACATCCGCAATATTCTCCTCATTACGGGCTGGATATGATCTATTCGGTCGCGTATCTTCCTGACTTTCACATTTGCAGATGGTATTGGCAACAGTGGTCTCGCAAGGTCGATGACGAAGTGCACGAAAAACAATTCTCACATTTCGTAATACAGCTGCACAATTTGGAGACGCTGTTGCGGTGTAAGTCCTTTCATGACGAATTGTCAAGCAATACTGAATATAACTAGGATTCCAGGATAAGACCAGTCATGAGGAATGTGATGAAAAAACGATCTGAAAATAAAGATCTAAATGAATCACCCATTATTACTTATCGGTACATTAGTTCTTCAAATCTTCTGGTTAACAAACATGTAACTAGGGATCTGACAACACTGCTTCTCCGTCAAAACTAGAGTGTTCTGTGCATTTTGCGACGATCGATAATGGTGTTTCGTGTAATTTGTAACAACTCTTGTCGCTGCCAAGCAAAAACGGATAGGGATCGCGGTTTAACTACAATAGCCATTTTGGGAGAAACCTGGCACTAATAAACGCGTTTTGAGATTCAACTTCTGTTTAGCAGTAAAGGTATAGTCAGCCTGCGATTGAATAATCGAGCCTAACAAGAATTTCAGAAGCTTCAAGGCGTGATATCCACACAACCCCCCATGTTTATCTGGCCAGTGAAACCTCATGTATTTAAAATTATTTCCTAATGTATACGTTTCGGTCACAACGGTACATGACATTTTTTTTACAATATTTCATTTATCTGCAGCACCACGCAAGACAAGCATAGCTCAGGACCGCTAGGATAGACATTCTCGCTCCCAAAACGACAAACAAGCATGAACATTAAAAAACACCTGGAAGATAAATAAAATATTGTCATGTACTATAGAAGGTCACCGTTGTGACCGAAATATATACATTAAAGAGATATTTTAAATACATGTGGTTTCATTGGCCAGACTAACATGGGGGATTATCGACATGAAAACTACAGGATATGCTTCAGAGTTTATGCTAATATCTATGTTTTTTCCAGAGCATCAGCACCATGGCCATCTATCTTATAGTTCTTCTCCAGTTTAAGATCGGTTTAGTTAGCTTACGAGGATAATTTGTAATCATAGTTACAATGATTTTACTCTTCATAGAGTTACTTGTACTTCTAGAGAATAAAGAACTTTTTACAAATACATATGCCATCCAGCTCTTGTGAATCTGTTTTAGTTGCATACTATGCCAGCATTTCAATCTAACTAAGTTTTTAGGCGCTAAAATTGAAGAACAATGTAATAAGGTTGTTGGTAATTCGTCGTTGTTCGTATTGCTTATAGGGAATGATAGGGTACACAGAATATAAAAAAATTCACCGTATATTATGTATATGTGTATATAATAGTTTCCCCGATTTTTCAATATTCGTGGTTCATCTGAAATTGGCCATTTGAGTCTAAATAATCAAAAAACGATGTAAGAACTGCAAGAAAATTCAATTACTTCTCATAGTTTATACTTGAAATAATGCAATAGTAGAGGGTGCAAAAGTACCGGATACAACAAAATAAGATAATAATTATGCCTATAATAATAAATATCCTTGATACATCTTTTCGAACTCGACAAAGGTTTACCAAGTACACTCTTTTAACTTTAAAACTTTAGCTTTCGACGGTCTATGCCATCATCATCAGGAGTAAGTCGACGAAATTGTTGTTGAATTGTTCTTAGAAGAGAGTGGGTGAGACCACACAGTAAAATGAAACTGGACATATCAGGTTCATTAAGAGAAATTTTTCTCATCCACTTTCTTCTAAGAACAATTCAGCAACAATCTCGTTGATTTACTCCTGATGATGATGGCATATGTGTATACCATCGAAAGCTAGAGTTTTAAAGTTAAAAGAGTGTACTTTGCAAATTTTTGTCTAGTTACCAAAGACATATCAAGGATACTTTCTCCTAACAGTTACGACAAACAACTATGTCCACTGTATTATAATATATATATAATATATAAAATAAAATAGTTTTCGTTTTCAGTTTTTCTTTA